CCCCAAAACCCCAAAACCCCAAAACCCCATACATATGCTAAAAAATCGAAACTTTAAAAAATACTTTAAAAATGAACTGAGTGGAAAATATAGTGATTGATATGGAGATGGCCAACTGGCAGGGCTGGGTAAGTGGATTTTGGGGTGTATGAGGGTTGGTGGTAGGGAGGTTTGGGGAATAGGGGAGATAGAGGGATTTTGGGTGGAATTTTGGGGTTAGAGGGGTGCTGGAGTGGGAGGGAGGGGTGTTTTGAGGGGGTTTTGGGGTGGAGGGGTTTGGGAGGGAGGGGTTTGGGAGGGAATTAGGTGAAATTTTTGGGGTTTTAAGGGGTAAAAATATGTTTGGAAGCTTGTTTTTAAAGTTATTTGAGGGCAAGATTAGTCTAATAGACAAAGAAAGATGAAGAGTATTCATTCTGGACTTGGCTAGGCTCCATTGGTTTGGGATTTTATTAATAGAAACTTAAGAAAGTTATATGACCATTTCAGGCTATTTTTCTTTTTTTTGAATTTTTCTACCTTGTATACCTGATTTCAATATTATGGTTAACTCGATATTAACATAAATAATCTTTATACATGATTCTTTGGTATACTTTTAAGCCGTCTTCCCTAAGACCTTATTATAACCTATAAATTCTTGTGCTCTCTTGCTTACTTCGATTATAGCACAACAAAATTGATCAGATGGATTATCAGCTTGAAGATTTCAAACCTGACAGATGTCCAGAAAAAGCATCTGTTGATGAAGAAGTTGATATTAGCAACTTAATAGAATTTATCAGAAATGCTCTTGAAAAAGGTAAGCTTCGTATTTAAAAAGCGTGTTTTATAACTTTGATTTAGGCTCCATTAAAACAGCATTGTTTTACTTTAAAGTTCAAACAAAATATTCACTAAAAATATCGACCAAAATCAGACAAATTTTCTGAGAAGAAAGCAATATTTTTCAAAATCCTTTATTCAAAGATGAAGGCTTTGAAGAAGCCAAAGAGGAGACACAAAGCTCTGTTGGACAAAAGATAAAGATTATATTTGGAACACAAGCCCTGTTCTTCGAACTCGGAAGACTTTGAGAAAAATCCTCCAATTGAGTATTCTATTCTGATGATCGTTGATTCTTTGATAGAAATTTCTTCCAAAGCTTGGCTAAAAATTCTGATAAGACTTTCATATTTCAAAAGAAGGTCTCATGATTGCTAGATGATATCAAGAAGTTTGAATCTACAGCTCTGTTAAATGGCAAAGAAGATTTGGATAAACTCTCTTTCAATCAAGAGAGTTTGAAAAATATTCACCTAATCTCCTGATTAAAGCCCCAAAAGCTGGCTTGAGAAAGCATCTCTCCTCTCAAGCATAAGAGAGTGACATTTTCAATAAGCAATGCCTCAACTGATGCTTATGAGTCTACTCAACCTAGCACAGCTAGTAGTCACAGTCAGAATACTTCAGAGAAGTACAATTCTGCTTCTAAGCTGAATAGTTCAGGGATTACTCTTTCTAATTGCTCAACTGAAATATCTGAAGAAATGGCAAAATTAAACCAAGATTTTACCAAAAGCGTGAGCTTTAAGGCCTCTGTTATCGATCTCTTGGCCAAGCTGCCAGGGTATTTTAACAAATCAGCTGATAACTGGTCCTTGAAGTTCATCAATGCTCTTGAGAATTTGGTCATCCAGCATCTGAACAAGACAGAAAAGGGCAAGAAGGACAAGATGACTGAAAAGGATAAGGAAAACTACTTGCTGTTCTTCAGAAACTATCTCATTCAACAGAAGATAGTATCAGGAGTCCTCCTTGAAATGTGGGCTAAGACTAAGTTTGGAGACTCTCGAGAGAAAATGATTCAAAGCCACAGCGTCAAGTTCGATTTTGAACAGTTGGATCTTGTTATTAAGAATCTCAAGTCTTCCAAAGGAAAATTCACTTTAAAAAATCATGAATTAAAAGGAAACCTGTCACTGTATGGCTGAATATGCTACTCAGTTATCAAGAAGATGCTGGAGAATGACTTGAATAGGTCTGAAAAACCAGTAACTTCATGTAGGAAGCTGTGTGACAATATTCACCACACAATAAAAAACTTCTACAATAGTAAATGAATAAGCCAAGAACAGAAGGAACTTATCAAAGCTGATAACAAAATCAGATACATAATTTCTGAAATCTTCAGGTGAAGAGGAATCTGGAAAATGGAGGACAAAACGTTTTCCGTAAACACAACAATCATCCAGGGTCAACTCCTAGAGTTTACTCAGTATGAAAAGTTAAGAATTGTGAAGGACTTGATGAACGATATTTCCAAGATCGTAGCTAAACCATAACACTCAAAACCTCAAGAGATTCTTACTTATTTAGGATAAATCATAACAAAAATAAATTCCATATTAAAATTTATCTTATGAGTCTATCTGAATTTTGCAAAGATGCATATTTTAATAGAAATTAAATGAATTCAATTATCCTAGAGTGCCACGGGGTTTTGGGGTTTTGGGGTTTTGGGGTTTTGGGGTTTTGGGG